GGGGGGGGGGTGCGAACGCACCCCCTGCACCCCCCCTAGCTACGGGCCTGGTACGTCAGACCACGACGAGGCCATGAAACTCTGTGAAGTAGGGCACCGCCATCCAGCACAAACGCATATTCTTGCTTTGGAAGCTCAGACGGAAAATTATCTTTCACTTCCTCCCAGATAGCGTTGGCTATAGGCAAGCTTGTTTGCCTGTGGTGGCAGGAAAGAAGCATCAAAAAGTGCTGGAGGGTAACATTTCAAACTGGAACAGTTCTTTTGGAATGTCATACCTTCCGCGAGTGGAAACGTGAACAAACCTTTGGAACAGGAGCTGGGAATCTATTTGAACAGTCATCCTTTTCACATTGATGGTGGTCTTGGCGTCAAGCGTTACAGCTTGTACTTTCTTTTTGAAATTGTGTTCATGTACAAGCTTACCCTTCATTGAAACAAGTATACTTTCTCTTACTTGTTTGGCTTTATCTGCGTTGATCGTTTCTTTTGCAACTACGCCTGTCGAAATACTTCGTAGTGAAGGATCTGCGCAGAACGGATTTCTTGAGTGAAGATATGCAACTAATTCCATTGTATCTTTAAAGTCGCGCTCTTGTCTAGCTATTGATGTGTCTATATGCTGCTCACTAGTGTAATAGTCGACACCTGTTAGACTCTGCATAGCGTTGTTGACTGCTGCACACATAGGCATGGACATCACCCATATCAATCGCTGCACTTCTGTCATTCCACGCCCCCTGGTAAGACCGCCACTTGTTTTTACACTTCTCATAAGTACTTGCTCAATGGTCAGGTCAGTAGACAGTTCCGCCCAATATCTATCCACTTCTGCGCACGACATGTAGACCCTCCTGGAAAATCTTACACACTTCAGGGTTCTTATCTTCAAGGTCAGCCATCATTTGCAATATTGTGTCCCGAGGCAGCAAAATAGGGCAGCATTTCATGAACGGATTGTATGTGAAGGTCCCAATTGCCTTTTCTTTTAGCCTTTTGGAATTTTGTGAGGATATCGATCATATCCATATATTGCATCCATGGCATGGCAGTGTGCTGGCCTTTCATTGAATTTCTAAAGCATCACTTACCTTTTCCGAAGAGAGGTCTGAAAATAAATTCAGGTGTTTGTTTTCAAATTTCTTAAATCTTCTCAATAGATGAAAAAAGTACTTATAAGAGATAGATAACTATAGAAGTGATTCATTACTATCAAAATACTTATTTTTAGGACCCATTTAATTATCTTATAATAAATTTACAAAGTATGGGCTTTCTGTGGTATTTACATTTGCATTTATTGAAAAATCTGTCCAGTTATTATCTTTTTTGTTTGAATATTGACAAGATTATACTTAATTTTGATATACGTGCCTCAGCACAATGTAAAATTAGAGAAAGAAACAAGTTTACATATATTTTTTTGGGAAATTGATATTTTCCCATTATTGGGCTTGATAATATGAAAAGCCGTTTTTAGGGATGTCCCACCGAAGGGAATTTTTGGGACTTTTAGTATGTTGGTTAACTTACCCTAACGGGTCAAACAGCATTGAGAAAAATTCTTTTGCAATTTGTTCCAGCCCCACCCCCCAAAATTTCATAGGATGACTGGACTATATGACGAATTTGCAATCTTAAAGAGAATTAAACTTATTATTTATTATTATTTCTTTAATGAAGACTCGGATCAAACAGTTCAATGATACAACAGGTTCTTGAAAAATCACTGTCTTGAATTAACCTCGCTAAATACAAACGAGAAAAATATATGAGAACTCTTAGAATTTACAATCTTTAAAAATGGATTTACCGTAATCATGAAATATGGCGTTCAAAACTCGACAAAATACCACAAAGCGAGGACAGTTTGTATTCTTTTCCCGTCTTTGTTCGTGCATTTCAAAAAAATGAGGAAACAGGTCAATGAAGATATCATCAAAATTCTCGTTTGCCGGCGATGGAGCTGACATTTTTGATCTGAGGATTGAAAGAAACCGCGAAGGCCTAAATGTGATTCCTTGATAAGAACGTAGTCATGGTAACGGTGATATCTTCACACGTGACGGATATTATATCTGGATAAATCCTGATATTTCATCGATATCTATATAATAAACGGATCTCATCTTCGGGTGTTGAGGTGATATCTTTGAAGTGAGCGCAGAGAACGAGTAAGATATTCTCAACACGAGGAGATACAATCTGCATCTTCAAGCGGCCATGTAATATTTTCGGTTTAACTATAATAGGACGTTTGCACGATGGCGTCATTGACCTCTACTACCAGACTCCCTTGCACACTTTCTTTTGTTCAGTTAATTAGCACCAATTGTCTTACTATTCTCATGAGGGAATACAAATTTAAATGAGAAAGAAAATTCGCGAAGTATCTTGGTAGTGGGAGTCAAATGACGCCATCATGCCAAAGTCCTATTATTGATGATATATAATTTTAGTGGATTTTTACTTTTAGCTGTGCGATTCCCTAAGATTTCTTACCAATGATGTTATGTTCACATGTCAAGATATCACTTTTTAGTAAGAAAGAAAAATAGATATTTCATTGATGATCATATATTGATAATACATGTTACTTCTTGTTCTTTGTCTCTTCTGGTTCGATCTTACAGGAGATCGGTGCTGATAAACAAAAGAAGGGATGAAAACGAATTTTGATTCAAAGGCTATCAGTACTTAAAAGCCCCACGTTGACCAGCTTTCTGAACAAAACCCTTTAATGTTGCTTCATCTAAGTGAGCAAACGCGTCTGTCTGGGATACTGCAGTCAAATGGTTTACACAAAACTGGAAACAAAACTCTTCCAATTTCTGTAAAGAAAGAAAAGAACTGAGTGAATTACGACAATACAGGAAGAATGGAATGGAAAAGTAAGACAAAAGGGTAGCGTGTGCGATGAATGATTTTAAAAAGGAGGGGGAAAAGAAAAAGGCTGATGGGAAAGGATCAAGAGAGCATAATTAAGGGAGGGAAACTTCTTAAGGTGACTGCCTACTTTTGCAAATTGATTTAAACTTTTTTTTAAACTTCTTAAAAATCTGGAAAGAAAAATTGGATGTCCCGAGCTTGTTTTCGAGTTAATCAGCATTTAATGGAAGCCTACGCGCGAGCTTTTGGAGCAAAACTTGCTCCACCAGAAGTGATTAGAAGAAAAAAAAGATTCATAAGATAATAGTTATTTGCAGACTATATGATTTCGCGAATGACGGCTAGTTAATCATTCTACAATAATACATGCCGGAATATTTTCGACAAAAAGACATAGAGATACATTGATTTGTCATATTTTGTATCTTCGGTGCTCTTAAAAAATCCCCTACAAAAATCTATTTTTTCATGCGTTAGAAATATAAACTTTTTCCAAAATGTTCATATAACCTAGATTTTGAGGAGTTTTAACGAATGAGCTACTAAAAAAATAGAGAGTCCTGTACAAAATTTGAGCCGGGTTTTGCCCTGTTTAAGCTCAAAACGCGTATGGTTCTTCAATAAAATCTTGTAGATTTTTCAGCGGTTTTTGAGCCGGCGGAACCTGGGAGAAACTAACATAAAACTAACTAAAGTCTACAAGTTCGTAAAAAAATACCCTGAATGTATTTAGCCATGAAATTTGGTTAGTTGACTAAGGACTTTTCTATAACTCACCTTTGCTTCGTATTTAATGGCAGCAGCCATCAGCATGGCAGCGTTGTCTACCGTGATTCCTTCTTTGATTATTCGCTCGCATAATTTTTTTAACTGATCCTCGCAGTAAGAGTTGGCTAAATCTAACAACCCTGAAACAAAGAAATCCAATAGAATGTTGTTTTGGGATATAAATAATAATTGCTGCAAGCCATCAGGAGAACAGCGAAACTAATCTTGGGTTACATGTCTATCTATGCCAGAGGAAATCTCGAGTTCTGAGAAAACAAAAGAAAATGAACTAAGAGAAGGAATCCCCGGGCCCCATCATGATCACTCGTTGGTGCTATTCTTAGAATCATTGACGCTAGTTTTAAAATTATTCGTGCTAATTTTAGAATCATTCATTTCATTGTTTTTTGTTTTGTTGAGTTTTGTTTTTTTGTTTTTTGTTTTTTGTTTTGTTTTTTGTTTTGCTTTGCTTTGCTTTGCTTTGCTTTGCTTTGCTTTGTTTCGTTTTTGTTTTTTGTTTTTTTTTTGCACGCACTTACTGAACACGCTCTACACTGTTTGCTTACGGTTTCTTGGGTTTTTCTTTTTTCAAATCTGCCCTGCAGTAGCCCAAACAAATTTTCTTGACAACTTGAAAATCATTTATTACACTAATTTCGACCTCCATGTTCACATTACATTGGAGGCGCACCATCTTCAGGGTATCTAACCTGTGACCCCCTGTCTACTCATTTGTTATGTGCATGTATATCGTGTGTGTGTGTGGGAGGGGAGGGAGAGGAGGATAGATCAGTGATTTGTCAAGGTTAGTGGGATGAAGTAAGAATCCTTAACCATGGAATCCTTGCATCCGTTATTTGATATTGGTGAATGCGTGTGTGAATGTGATGTAACAAAGCTTACCTATGGCATCTTCTGGTATCAGTTCTACTTTGTCTGTATACAAATACTTCAGAAACGCCTCATAAACGACGAATGAAAACTGGGTGATCTCGATGACACTGTCAAAATTAAACGCCAACAGTCACAAGATTGACGCAAAATAACTAGCTTGTTAGGCGTTTACTAGTGTAACACCAAAAAACTTGACGAGTTTGAAAATATTATATAATATTATATTCTACCATATAAAAAGTTTGGCTTCGGTGTGTTACTTACTCTTTTTCATCTTCTCCCCAATGCGACTGAAACATGGTGCGAAAATGTTCACATCTATGAAATACAATGCCAAAAACGTTGTTAGAATATTTGATTACGATATTCATGACCATGATTTCTCATGGTTGATATTACAGGTTTTCTTAAACAGTTTTTCATACTGCTGATCCGTTAGCGCGGCTGGACTGCAAACTCAATGACTTTAAGAGGGCGTCTCTGTAACAGCGTGCCACTCGATCTGGGCTCGAAAAATAGATTTCTTTTATATTCCTATCATCGAAAGTACTATCTATCCTCACTACAAAATTGCAGTTAGAATTGTTCTAAATTCTTTTTTCCACCCGCTATGCGAA